TATATATATGTGTATATATATATATATATATATATACACATATATATATATATTGGTAATATTCAGGTAATTTTTCTAAATTTTTGTTCAGGTGTTAGGGCGCTCAACTCGCGAGTTGCGGGTCTCGGGTTCGAATTATATTCAATGAACATACTCGCCCTTTCAGTCGTGGGGCACAATAATGTGATGATGAATCGTACTATTCCTTAGTAAAATAGTAGCCCAAGCGTTGGCAGTGGGTAGTGTTGACTAGTTGCCTTCATTGTAGTCTATCACTGCCAAATTAAGGGCGATTAGCATAGATAGCCCTCGGATAACTTTGCGTGAATTTCTGTACAAACCAAGCCAAATCATACAGGTGTTCTCCCCATCCTTGTAAGACCGATGTGTGGAGGTGATAACCTCGCACTAATCCTCTATCTTATATTAATCGTTGTGTATTATATGTTCTGTATATCATGTTTTCTTCCATCATCTTTAGTAAAGTAGACATTTTGTGTAGTCTGTTTTTAGGCAGTTCCAGCATAAAACACCTTGCCCAGAAAACAGTTGAAGTTTCTTGGTTCTAGTGTTGCCTTATATATCTCTCTCTATTATATGAGATATCACCCACTTTGCCAACTAAAATACAAGAGCATAATTTCACTCGGCGAGTGGATGATGTCGGTATGTATCAGCTGACGAATGCCGTGAGAGAGTGACTAGTTATGCTGTGAGGCCATCGTGAGAAAAAGAAAAACAAGGTTTCTTCCAAGCTCGAAACCTTATTTCTCGATCAGTTCTATTTGGCATTTGAAATGTTTAGCTCTACAGAATTCCCCCAATATGTCAGCGATAAGTTTATGAATTTACAATAGTAAATTTTGGAATTAGATTCCCCATAGTGGATTGTTTGTTTGTTTTTGAATTTCGCGCAAAGCTACACGAGGGCTATCTGCGCTAGCCGTCCCTAATTTAGCAGTGTAAGACTAGAGAGACGGCAGCTAGTCATCACCACCCACCGCCAACTCTTGGGCTACTCTTTTACCATCGAATAGTGGGATTGACCGTCACATTATAACGCCCCCACCGCGGAAAAGCTTGGCATGTTT